AGAAACTGAACCCAGGTCCTCTGTAAGAATAGCCAGTGTTCTTAACTACTGAGCCATCTCCCCGTTTATTCTTTTTTTCCCGAGACTGGGTTTCTCTGTGTAGCCTTGGCTGTCCTTGACTAGCTTTGTAGACCAAGCTGGCCTCCAACTCATAGTGATCTGCCTGCCTCTGCTTTAGCAGTTATGTGGGGGTCAGAGGGTAGCCTCTGGGTCAGTCTTTACCGTCCACCCTGTTTGAGACAAGAGTTCCTATCCTCACTGTATTCCAGGCTCGCTGGCCCCATTCTGTCCAGACTCTCCTGGATCTGCCTCCCATCTTGCCGCAGGCCCGCTGCAGATCCGTTAGAGTTGGGAGGGTTGTGTGTTCTCACACGTGTGTGACAAGAGCTCTACCCACTGGGCAATCGTCCCCAGCCTGTCTACCTTGTTTTTGAGAAAAGGTCTCATATTGGCCTGGCAGTCGCACAGCAGGGACGGGCTGGCCGGCCAACAAGCCCCAAGGATCACAAGCATGCACCCCGGGTCTGAGGATTAACCTTGGGTCCTCATTTGTGCAAGGCAGGTGCTATATTGGCTTTGGCATCTTCCCAGCCCTCCCTTTCCTGTTTCTGAGACAGAGCTTCACTTAGCACGTGTGGCAATCTGATGTGAACTCCTGCCTCAGCCCCTTTGCTGGGCTCACAGACCTGCAGTACCATGCCTGGCTAGCATGAGTCCATGAAAAATCCCATTTTTTCAGAGGAGGAGCTTAAGGCTAAGAGAAGCTGAATGGCTGTCTCAGGCTGGGCTGGGCTGCATTGCTGGGCCAGGCAGGCGAGGCTGTGCTCCACCCTGAGGGCCCTGGAGCAGGATACACATGGGTGGAGTTCCAGGGCCACCTACAGTGCAGCTCTCACTCATTCCTTCCCCCCTGGGAATCAGGTTCAAGGGCAGTAGGAAAGATGAGGTCCTGGGCATTGCCAACAACCGGCTGATCCGCATTGACCTGGCGGTGGGTGATGTGGTCAAGACCTGGCGCTTCAGCAACATGCGTCAGTGGAACGTCAACTGGGACATCCGGCAGGTAGGTCCCAGGGGAGGGCAGGGACAGGGCCAGCCACTCAGCTCAGACCCAAGCAGGGCGAGGCAGGGGCTGCTACTCGTTGGCCCCGCCCACTGGACCTGTGCTCACCTCCGGCAGGTGGCCATTGAGTTTGATGAACACATCAATGTGGCCTTCAGCTGCGTGTCTGCCAGCTGCCGGATTGTGCACGAGTACATCGGGGGCTACATTTTCCTGTCCACTCGGGAGCGGGCCCGAGGGGAGGAGCTGGATGAGGATCTGTTCCTGCAGCTTACAGGTGGCCACGAGGCCTTCTGATGGCAGCCAGGGTGCCCCTGCTCCACTCACCACCTCCAGGGACCCTCCAAGCTCACACCCACCTGAACTCACTGCCCCACCACTCCCAGCATGCACCATGCTGGCACCTTCACTTGTCACCAGCAGGCCAGGGCTCTGGCCGAGAGAGGCACTACCACCACCCAGCCTAAGGATGGTGGGCCCTGAGCCACACAGAGCTGTCCTGCCATTGTGACACTCTCACACTCCTGACCCATATACAGACCCTAAGCACACAAGGAATGCCAGGTGTGGATAAAGAACAAGAAGTCCTGGTTTCAGACCAGACTAGGTGTGTCTGGTCCAGATTTTTTTTTAAATAAATAAGTAAATATTTTATTGTTGGATCTTTCTCCTTCCTCCTCTGGAGCTGTGCTTGGTGCCGCTTTGATACTCTGTCTCCTTATCACCAGCCAAGGAGAGAGGCTTTCCTGAGGTAGAGACAAAAGCTGCTAAGAAAGAGGAACATCTAAGAGGGCCTAGGGTAGGGACCTTTCAAAGAGCTTGAGGGCTGGGCCCAGGGTGGGCAGTGGTTTGGTTCTCACGGGTAGGCCGTAGCTGCAGGGCCTCCTTGAAGTACTTGGGAAGCAAGAAGCCTTCAGCATTCCCTGGAGTCAGGATCACCCCGTTGGTGGAGCGGAAGAAGGGGATTCCATCTGCTCACAGAGCTAGAGTTGTGACCAGTGTCCCCCTCTGACAGCCCTGGGAGAGCCGCCGCAGGGCCCACACTTACCTGCCAGGGCTAGGGGTCCGTCAATGAACACTGCCACTTCGCAATTTGGACGCATGCCTGCAGGGACAACTAGAATGGGACCCTGTGGTGGGGTGGGAGACACTGTTCCATGCAAGGCTACCTGGTGGCCTCACACAGAAGAAGCTGGGGCCCTTGGTGGAGGGCCTGGGCGGACAGAATAGGTGAGGGTGACACTGACCACTGATGACACCAGAGTCCCCAGGCAATCCTGAGGCCAAGTGGATGTGCGTCCTTCCTTGGCATGACAAGCCCTTCAGTAGGATAGATGGCCAATGCTTCCAGAATGTGCCATGGACTAGCATCGACGGCAGGGCTTGTGGCCTCTCTAAGGGTATCAGCTCCAACTCGGGTACCTGTAAACGAGGGTGTGAGTGGGCAACAGTGAGACCCCTTCATGAGCTGGGACCCATCCGGCTCTCCCGCCTGCCCCTCGGCTCTCACTTGTAAGGAGTGGCCTTGATTTGCCCTGATGAGCGGCCCAGTGCCGGGCTCGCCTGGCTGCAGGGTGAAGCGCTGCTTTCCATTGGTATCCACCACGCGCTGCACATCCTCAGCTGAGAAGCTGTGGAACTGGGCCAGCTGCAGGAGGGCTCCCAGGGGCACGAAGCCATCTGCAGGTAGTCAGGTGGCGGTATGCTCAGGAGCCAGGGCTATGCTTGACAGGGGAGCCACGGGCAGCTGGAACACAGGCTAGGCCTGGGCGTTCACATGAGCTTCTTTTGTGTGACCTTAGGGAAGGCTTCCCTTTTTGGGCCTTGAGTTGTTTTGTTCCCCCTCACCCCTCAAAACAGGGCTTCTCTTTGTAGTTCCTGCTGTTCTAGAACTTGTCTGTAGATCATGCTGGCCTGGAACCCATAAAGATCCTCCTGCCTCTGCCTCCCAAGTGCTGGGATTAAAGGTGTGTGCCACCTACTGCCCAGCCTTTGTTTTGTTTTGTTGTTGTTGTTGCGCTGGGGATGGAATCCAAGGCTTTGCACCTGTTAGGAGAGAATCTAGTAAGGAGGTACATTTCTTTTCTTTTTCCTTCTTTCTTTTTTTCTTTTTCTTTTTTTTTTTTTAGGAGGTACATTTCTAACCCAGGCCTCATTTTATTTAATTTGCATGGAAAGGTGGCTTCATGTTGGGCATATTAGTATATGCCTATAAACCTAGTACTTGGGAGGTACAGGCAGAAGAATCAAGAGTTCAAGGTGAGGCTAGCCTAGGCTGCATGACATATTGTCTCAAAATAAAAACCGGGGCTTTAGAAACGGTGCAGCAATTAAGAGCATTGCTGTTTTCCCAAAGGACCTAGGGTCAGATTCCTGGCACTCACACAGCAGCTCCCACCCATCTGTAATTCCAGTTCCAGGGGATCCAGTGCCCTCTTCTGACCTCCATAAGAACCAGGTGCAGATGTGGTTTAAGTGTACATGCATGCAGGCAAAACATTCATATGTATAAGAAAATAAAACAAAAGGCGCAGGGCTAGAGAGATGGTTCAGTGGTTAAGAGCACTGATCGCTCTTCCAGAGGATCCAAGTTCAATTCCCAGCACCCACATGGCAGCTCACAACTGTCTGTGACTCCTGAACCCGGAGATCTGATAAGCCTCACATAGACATATATGCAGTTAAATACCAATATACATATAAACAAACAAACAAACAAATAAATGGGAGGCAGAGGCAGGTAAATCTCTGTGAGTTTGGGGCCAGCTTGGTCTACCAATTGAGTTCCAGGACAGCCAGGGCGCTCTGTTACACAGTAAAATCCTGTCTTGAAAAACACACAAACAAAAACAAAATGAAAAAGAAAGAAAGAAACGAAACAAAACAAAACAGCATATCTGCTTCAGGGAAAGTATCACAGTAAGCACTAAGTATCTGGCCCAGCATGGCCATTCAGTAAACATCAGTTGCTTCAGTATGCCCCTCTGTCCATCCTTGGAAAGTGTTAATTTGGCTATTTGGCTGAGAGAGACATGATGAGGCCCAGCCTAGACAGGGAATATGAAAGGGGTCTGGGCCTTGTTTTCCCTGTACATTCGGAGGGTGTGTGCATTCTGCGCTCCTCTAGGGCCAGTGTTATGGTTGAGAAGACAGGGTTCCAGTTGCTCCTCTGGCTCCCACCACTCCTCCCAGCCTCCACCATGTTCACTTACCAGCTCGCATGGGAAGTCCCAGCTTCAAGGCCCCGTGGCGTAGGACATAGGACAGGGCCTTAGACAGCTGCACGTCTCGGTCCTGAAAGAGTCCAGTGTTTCAGTAGCTAGCCCTGAGCACTAAATGTCCTACTGCAAAGGCAGACCAGAACAGTTCCTGTGGTCTCCAGGAAGAAGCCACCAAGAAGCCAAGGCTCAGAGGGTCCCTTCCCTGTCCTCTCACTGTTGGGGTGAGAGTGGAAAGGTGCGCACCTGTTCCCGGGGTCTGTGACTCCTTCTACCTTCCTGCCTCCTTCCTCCAGGGGCGTTCATGACCAAAACCTGTAGGGAACAGGAATGTATAGCTTCTCCGCTCAGAAAGTCACAAAGGCGCAGGATGAGAACCACACTGCTCACCCTCCCCTAATTCCACAAGAAAACTTGAGGCCCAGCGAGAGAGACTTGCCCAAGGTCACATTGGCAGCTACGAGGCGAGGCCCGAGGGGTCAGGACCAGATTCCGAGCTCGGAAATCAGATTGCAACTTTGCTGCCCCGGGCTCCGGGCTGGAGTGTAGGCTGACAGGAAGGTGAGCTAGGCGCGGACCTAAAGCGCTCCAGTGAGGAGGGCGGGGCGCAGACCCGGACACACTCTGGCCAATGGAAAGCCACAAAGGAAAGGGGCGGGTACTTCCGCTTGGGGGGAAAAGGGGTGGAGCTTGGGGGCCGGGACGGCCGGTGAGAGCCAGTTTTCAGACCTTGGGAGTAATAGATCAAGCTCTTCCAGGTTGGAGGTACGACTCCTGGGATGGGGGTCCTTGAGCGTTTTGGGGACCTAGTGCTGCAGGGTAGTAGGGATGCTCAGAGGAGTCCAGGGGCTCGCTGGACTCAGGACTCTTGTTAGGATGATACTGGCCAATAGAATTGAGTAGTCAGGGATCTGCAGAAAGGCAGGGGAGCACTCTCAAGAGTTCTGTGAAAGAGAGGGTCAACCCGTTTCCTAGAGTGACAGGATAGCCATTTGTGTCCTCCCCCAGAGCTGCCCTGTCAGACCATGGACCCTGAGGTGTCCCTGCTGCTTCTGTGCCCTCCTGGGGGACTGTCCCAGGAGCAGGTAGCAGTGGAGCTGAGCCCAGCTCACGACCGTCGTCCACTGCCTGGAGGAGACAAGACCATCACTGCCATCTGGGAGACTCGACTACAGGCTCAACCCTGGATTTTTGATGCCCCCAAATTCCGCCTTCACTCAGCCACACTGGCATCCAGCTCACCTGGACCACAGCTGCTCCTGCACCTGGGTTTAACTTCCTACCAGGACTTCCTGGGCACCAACTGGTCTAGCTCAGCTTCCTGGCTGCGACAGCAGGGAGCTGCAGATTGGGGTGACAAGCAGGCCTATCTGGCAGACCCACTAGGGGTGGGTGCTGCTTTGGTTACAGCTGATGACTTCCTTGTCTTCCTGCGTCGCTCTCAGCAGGTGGCCGAGGCACCTGGGCTGGTGGATGTGCCCGGTGGACACCCGGAACCTCAGGTGAGATGATCTGGTTTCACCTTCTCTTAAAGGGAAAACTGGCCTCGTGTTTCTGAGCCTGCAGCCTCCCATGCTGCATGCCCTGCTAGAGGGCTGTCCATGAGAACGTGTGGGCCCTGCTGAGCCCAGCCCAGGACTCTCACTGCTACTGGGAGGAGACCCAGCCATAGGTCTAAGCTGGGGCACACCTATGGAAGCTAGGGAGCATGGGAGGAGAGACTGAAGGGAAGGAGATGGCTTTTCTTAGCCAATCCATGTAATCCTTCCTAGCTAGGCTTCTGACTGCTTATTTGGAATAGGAGGGGGTGGGTCAGGGATTGCCAAGGCTCTCACACAGTCTGCCCTGGGCCCTCATGGCCAGCAAAAGGAAAAGTGTGGGAAGCAGGGCAGATGAAGGCTGGGCCTAAACTTTTCACAGGCCCTGTGCTCCGGTGGCAGCCCCCAGCACAAGGACCTCCCTGGGGAACTGGTGGTACGTGAACTCTTTTCCAGTGTCCTACAGGAGATCTGTGATGAGGTGAGTGATGGGGCCCCAGACAGCATGTGGGCATAAGTGAGGGGCTAGAATTTGCTAGAAATCCACAGGTCTGGGCCAGAGTGAGGGTCTGCATGAGCCTAGCTGGTGTTGAGGATGAGTGTGGCATTAAAGCTGGGCCCATGATTTCTTGATCCTCTGAACAATGAAAAATGTCTAGTCTATCTTAATTATTTGCTGAAAAAGTAATGAGTGAAGAGTCTTAGTTACTAAATCAACTTCACTTGGGTAAAAGGACCTCTCTAGACAATCTGTTCCATTTCTCAACTGTAAAATGAACAAACCTAGAACCTATATTTTGTGTTACGGAGCACTTGACAGTAAAACAAAAATTCAAGGGTCACAAAGCCGTTTAAGGTTGGGGATATAGCTCGTTTACCTAGCACAGCAGTTCTCAGCTTTCCTAAGGCTGTGACTCTCAGGCTGTGGTGACCCCAGCCATAAAATTTTAATTGTTACTTCATAACTGTAATTTTGCTACTGTTGTGAATCATAATGTAAATATCTGTGTTTTCCAATGGTCGTAGGCAACCCATGTGAAAAGGTTGTTCCACCCCCAACCCCAAGGTGTCACAACTCACAGGTTGAGAAGCACTGGCTTAACATGCACAAGCCTGGCGTTTGTACCATGTAAGCCATAAGCCAAGTACTGTGATGCATACCTGTAATCCAGCACTCAGGAGGCGGAGGCAAAAGGATCAGAAATTCAAGGTTATCTTGAGTTTAAGGATCACCTGGACTACAGGAGGCCATGTCTAAAAAAAAAAAAAAAAAAAACAAAAAACCAAAAATAGAAAACACCAAACCAAACCAACCAAAAACCCTGGGCCATTGAGAAGTCAGCCTGACAGGTTGGGATCTTTACCACAGGTGAACCTGCCACTGCACACCTTGAGCCAGCCACTGTTGTTGGGCATCGCTTGCAATGAGACCAGCGCGGGCAGAGCCAGTGCAGAGTTCTATGTCCAGTGAGTGGACTCTGGGCTGCAGAATCTTGGGTGAAGTGTGTGGGGAAGGAGTGGGTTTGAGGCAACTGGAGTTCTACACGGGTCTTGGATACCCACTACACACCTTCGTGTTCTTGTCTAGGTGCAGCCTGACTTCAGAGGAAGTCAGGGATTATTACCTGAGTGGGGGACCTGAGGCCCATGAGTCTACAGGAATCATCTTTGTGGAGACAGAGGTGATGGGGGAAAGGGTATCTGGGTGGGGCAGAGGACTTTCAAGTCTCCGGGAGTTTACAGAGGTGCAAAGCTTGGCTCCTACCTAAGGGGAAAAACCCAGTAACGGGGACAGTACAGGAGTACTGAGGTTCAGCAATTCCGGGCACGGCCCGAGAAGGAAGGGAAGCCTGATATCTGGGTCTGGTTGATTTCCCACAGAAGGTACCGAGACTGCAGGAGACGGAAATGTGGGCACAACTCTGCCCCTCGGCCAAAGGTGCCATTCTCCTCTACAATCGCCATCCACCTCTGCAGTCGGGTGCTGGGAAGTCCGGCCTGAGTCATCCTAGCGTCCCAGCCCTATCATTGCCGCTATGAAGACAATAAAGGACTTCATTCTTGGATTCCGTTGGCTTCTGTTGCTTTCCTCCAAGTCTGGGATCCTCTGAGAGAACCCGGGGTGGGTAAGAGGGGCCGAGCACCTGGCAGAAAGAGAACAAAACAAGAAAACCCACGGTGCGGCCTCCGTGTGACCCTCTTAGCTGAGGAGTGAGGGCCACCACACCGAGAAAGCGCCTCAAGGCTGAACTGCATGGGGCGGGGCGAGAGGCCTTCTTCTCGGTCCCACGGCCTTTTCGTGTTAGAACACCGGTACCTTTCTCTTGTTTGTTTTTTCTAATTTTTTTCCACGCTTTATTCATCATATATCCTGATTGAAGCCCCCGCCCTCGACACTGGTACCTTCAACAGCTCCAATGCTTCCTCTTGGCGTGCCCCGGTGTTCTCGGCCAATGAGCACGCAGGGGCGGGCCCTCTGCCTTCGTCCAATAAGCGTGGCCTGAGCGTCTACGCCAATGAGGGCGTGGGGGCGGAGCTCGCACAAGGGCAGGAAATGGCGGCGACCACCGAGCCTGTGAGTGGGGCAGGGGCGGGGCTTGGCTCTGGCTCCTCCTTCGCACACCCACCTAACGCTTTGGGTGGGAAGGGGTGTCCTAGGTGCTGAGCGGGTAGCCCGGACTTGGAGGGCGGTGATGGAAGGGCCGGGGCATCCGTGTCTGATTCTCGAGTAAAGAGCCCGTCTCCGAATTTGCTTTTGTGGGAAACCGAGGCAAGGCCCTTCCCTCTGCCCCAATCCCTGATGTCCGGCCCGATCGGGACCCAATGCAGTTTTGGGGGCCTCCCTTTCCCAGCTGCCCGCCCGCCGTCTTCATGCCGTCCCTGTTGCTCCTGCTGCCCCAGCGCCTATGCCAGCTGTGTCCCCGCAGCCCTCCCACCCGGCTTCTCACAACCAAGGGGCAGCGGTGAGTTGAGGGCCAGAACTTGGCCATGTTGTTCAGTGGTTTTCTGTAGAGAGCTCGTTATTAGATGGTTGTGAGATAGTTGTCTCTGCTGTGTGTGTCAAGTGTCTTTTGAGGTTTGTCCCAGATAACCTCCTTCCGTGCTGGACACTGAGCATCAAGAGTTAGGATTAAGTGAGTTAAGTGACTGAACAGGAATCTGACTCAGGTCAAACTCAGTGCTCTTTCCATAGCTCTGGCATGTTGTCGGGCTGAAGTTTCACTGTGCGTACACTGGGAAAGAGGAGGTAAGGGACAAAGATTCAGACTTCTGGAGATCTGGTCAGGAGGAATGAGGTGGGGGATCTGCTTTGTTTCTTTTCTGGCGAGGTGGACTTTTCCTGTGTTGCCCAGATGAGCCTCCAAATTCAGTCTCCATAGTGTCTAGGGTTCAGGCACAGATAGCACACCTGGCTTGGAAGTCCTTCATTTCCCTCAGTACTGGCACTGGAACACAGAACCACATGTATAAGAGACCAGGAAATCTTTATCATTTATTTATTTGAGTCAGGGTCTTATGTAGGCTAAGCTAGCCACAAACTTGCTAGTAGTCAAAGGATGACTTTGAACTTCCGACTTTGCCTCCACCGCGCACCTTGCTGGGATTGGGGGGGGGGGGGACACACCACCTCACATCACCAAACCTGCTGTATTAAAGACATTTTTAGGAGCTGGAGGGATGGCTCAGAGATTTTAAATACTTGCCCTCTCACAGAGGGCCCAGTTATGATTTCCCCAGCATCCACATGGTGACTCAAAAACATCCTCTTTCTACCTGTTGGGGGCACCAGGGGTGCACATACATACATACGTACAAACGTTCATATATCCAAGATAAAATAAAAAAATCTTTAGAAGCAGTTTAGCAAGCCAGGCTCCATGGCGCACACTTCTAATCCCAACACTCAGGGAAGTAGAGGCAGGTGGATGGCTGCTGTGAGTTGGAAGCCAGCCTCGTCTACAAAGAGAGTCCAGGGCAGCCAAGGCTACACAGAGAAACCCTGTTTTGAAAAGAAGCTTTTTAGCCAGGATGGTGGTGCACACACGCCTTCAGTCCCAGAACTCGGGAGGCAAAGGCAAACTCTTGAGTTTAAGGCTAGTCTGTCTATCTAGGGAGCTGCAGGCCAGACAGAGGTAGTGAGACCCTGTTTTGTTAAGGGGGGGGGATTGTCAGAGAGGGGCAGGACTCTGAGGACTACACTTTGAAAATGAGAAGTCCTGACCATTCCCGAAACACCCCAAAGGGAAGGGTAATCTGATTTGAAGGTGTGGCTGGGAAGGGCGGCAGGGCAGGGCGATGGTGCCCTCTGGCCTCCTACGCCTCTGCAGGTTGGGGCTTCCCTCCACAGGTCTCCCCCTACTAACTACTATGAACTGCTGGGGGTGCATCCCGGTGCCAGTGCCGAAGAGGTTAAACGTGCTTTCTTCACCAAGTCAAAAGAGGTATTGATGCCCCCAAGGTGAGGAGGGAGGAAGAGATCTGAGCCAAACACAGGGGCACCCCAGCTTCCTGGGGTAGGCCTGTATCTCCAGCTGGTAGCATATTCCTTCCACCTTCATGGGTAGGAGACACTCAATATCTTCTATGACAAAAGGATCAGAAAGGAACAGGCAAGGCTAGGGGTCTTTCTGTTTTGTTTTGAGACAGGATCTCACATTATAGTCCAGACTGGTCTCAAACTTAAAACGGTTTTGTCTCTACCTCTCTAGAACTGGAGTTACAGATGTGAGCTATTGTATCAGGTTTCTTTCCTTCTCTTTTCTTTCTTTCTTTTTTTTTTTTTTTTTTTGAGACAGGGTTTCTCTGTGTAGCCTTGGCTGTCCTGGACTCACTTTGTAGACCTGGCTGGTCCTGAACTCACAGAGATCCACCTGCTTCTGTCTCCCAGTATGCGCCACCATGCCCTGCTCTGGTTGTTATCTTGAACGAAAGGGGTAGGAGTCTGTCCTTCCTGACTCTGGCTTTTGGGAGGGGTCAGCAAGCTGTGCGTGAGGGTCAGTGTCCAGGCAAGGTCTATAGGAGAGATGTCAGTCTTTATGGGTGGACATCATCAGCATAGGCCCTGGGAAAAGACATGGAAAATAAGATAAGGAGACCCCTGCCTCACCACAGCTGCACCCCGACCGAGACCCTGGAAACCCAGCCCTGCATGGCCGCTTTGTGGAGCTGAGTGAGGCATATCGTGTGCTCAGCCGTGATGAGAGTCGCCGCAACTATGACCATCAGCTGCATTCAGCCAGTTCCCCAAGGTCTTCAGGGACTACAGCCCAGCCTAAGTACACCCAACAGACACACAGGTACAGTGGTCCTGGCCCCTGTTGTCCTTATTCTCAAGCCTTCCAGAGAGCTTCATCTTCCCATTGTCTTTCTTTTGCTCTTCGGCAGCTCCTGGGAATCCCCCAATGCACAATACTGGGCCCAGTTTCACAATGTGAGGCCACAGGGGCCTGAGTCAAGGCAGCAGCAGCATAAGCACAACCTGCGGGTCCTGGGATACTGCCTCCTGCTCATGGTGGCAGGCATGGGCCTGCACTATGTCGCCTTCAGGTGTCTCCCTATCCTTCCTGGGATACTGGGCAGAGGGTGGGTCAAGAGCGGTGTGTCCAGCCAGCTACAGCGGCCTATGACCTGCATACTTCGTCACTCTCAAGCTAAGAACTTTGTGAAATCAGTCTTTGGAGCCTTGCCTTGCTGGGTAAAGGCAGCACTGCACACAAGGGCTAAAGTTTTCTGTTTTTCATAACTTGAATGTTAATTTTTTAATTATTTATTTATTCATTGAGACAGGGTTTCTCTGTGTGTAACCCTGACTGTCCTGGACTAGCTTTGTAGACAGGCTGGCCTTGAACTCTGAGAGGCTGTCTTCTGCCTCCTGAGTGCTGGAATTAAAGGCATGTGCCACCATACCCATCTCAAATGTTAATCTTTGATGTTGGTTGTTGGTGGGGCTGGAGCCACCAAAACCATGTACAAAAGAGGACATGGAGAAAACCCTGGGGTTCTTCCTAACATGTTATAAAGCAGGCATGGTGGTGTGTACCTATAATCCCAGTGCTCAGGAGATAGAGGTAGGAGGAGCAGAAGCTTGGGGGCTGGAGAAGTGGTTCAGTGGTTACGATTGCTTGCTGCTCTTACAGAGGAACAGAGTTTGATTCCCAGCAACCACATATGACAGGTCACAACTGCCAGGAAATGTGATGCCTTCTTCTGGCCTTCAAGCAAACCTGCACATACATGGCATACATATAGCACACAGACAGACAGATAGACACACACACACAGATTCCACATTCCCCACAGGGTTTCTCTGTGTAGATGTGGCTGTCCTAGAACTCCCTCTGTAGACCAGGCTGGCCTTGAACTCAGAGATCTGCCTGCCTCTGCCTCTCTAGTGCTGGGAATAAGGTGTGAGCCATTACTGCCTGGCAAAGTTTTAAAAATATTTTAAGTTCAGGGTCATCCTTTGGTTACATACCTAGTTTGAGGCCAGCCGAGGTTACATTAAATTTTGTCTCAATATAGAAAGAAAGAGTGAGCCTGGCATGGTGGCACATGCCTGTAATCCCAGCACTCAGGGAAACAGAGGCAAGCGGATCTCTGTAAGTTTGAGGCCAGCCTGGTCTACAAAGGGAGGACAGGGCAGCCAAGGCTACACAGAGAAAACCTGTCTCAAAAAAGAGAGGGGGGGAGGGAGGGAGAGAGGGTGAGGGGGGAAGAAACATACAGTGTAAGAGAGATAGAAGCCAGGACTCTACCCCACTTTCTCGTTAATGCTGTAATGCCAGTTTTCTGGAGCACAGAGACCCAAAGCATGATGCCGGCTGCTAGAACTGTCTAGTTCAGGAGATGAGACACACCCCTTCCTAATCTCCTGGGAGGGGCACCCCGATTTTAGAACTGTTTCACCAACCCTCACAGGATGGCCAGGGACTTAGGGTACCTGGGACCTGGGCCATTTGGTGTCTTTCTTTTCAATGTACCACAGGACTGTCTCTTATGGAGAGAGATGTAAAATTTCGTAAAAGACACTAGGGCCCTGGTCCTTCAGGGCTTCACAGGCAGCAGTCTGGAGACCCGCGGTTAATTGCAATTCCCTCACAGGAAGCTGGAGCAGGTGCACCGGAGTTTCATGGATGAAAAGGACCGGATCATCACAGCCATCTACAATGACACTCGGGCCAGGGCCAGGTGTGTCACTGCTCTGTCTTGCCTGGCTCCCTGCTCCACACCACCCCCAGGATTCTTATCCCCATCTATCTGGCTCCCTGCTCCGCACCATCCCCCTGGATCCCTCTCCCCATCTATCTTTTCTTCAGGGCTAACAGAGCCAGAATTCAGCAGGAGCGCCAGCTGAGGCAGCAGCCTCGGACAGAACCCTCCCCACTTCCAGAAAGCTCCGGGATCGTGCCCCAGGACACCAGCTCTTGAGAGGCTTGCCCAGGTCCCCCAGCATTGGCCCTCTCTATGCTGCCCGTGCGGGACTACACATTTTTCTCAATACATGCAATAAACTCATGTTCAGACTCATGTCGGTTTCTGTCCTTTAAGTCACACATCTCCCCACTCCCCTGGTGGGCAGAGACCCCCGGAGCCCAGCCTCCAGGGCGGTGCGTCCCCTTTCCCGAGCAGTGGCGGGAGGGAGCGTTTGGAGGGGGGTCGGCCCCGCCCCCGCCCCGCCTCTGCCTGTGTCCCGGTGGGGAGCGCGTGTTTTAGGTCACATGAGCCTCTTGCCCGCCAGCCCCGGCCAGGCCCCCTGCCACCCCTGTCGTCCCCGCCGCCAGCAGTCCCCGCCACCGGTCGCCTGCCCATCCCGCTCCTCCGGCCGCCACCGCGCTGCGCTGCGCTGCCTGCGACTAGGGCTCGGGAGGGGGCCGCGGAGGAGCCGCCCTCCGTGCCCGGCCCCGGGTTCCCGCACCCGGGCCCGCGCCATGGGGCTCTGGCTGCCGCCGCCCCCCGCGCCGCCGGGTTAGGGCAGTGCAGGCGCCCCCGGCGCTCGGCCCCCGCGGGCACCATGAGGCCCCTGCTCCGCCGCCTGCTGCTTGCTGCGCTGCTGCAGCTGGCCCTCACCCAGGTACGTGCGTCGGCGACAACCCGCTCACCCGCCCACGGTGCCCTCTCAAGGTTGGCGGAAGTGGGGAGGCACCCGCTACCTCTGCCGAGGGGATCCGCTGTTCCGACCCGGAATCTCCGTTAGGGGTGCCCCTCTGCGCAAGACCGTTAGCCCTAGCCCCTGGGCCACTCCCCCGTCCCACCCCATTCCCTGGGTACCTAGGGGGCGGAGCTGCCTCAGTGCCCTCCAAACCTTTTTCCACTATCCCGCTCCTGACCTGAAACAAGCCCAGCTCCAAGACTTGGAATTTAGTGCCATTCCCAGAGTATGCCTGGTGGGTCTTGGGCCAGGGAAAGTCCCAGATGGCCGAGTGTACAAGGAAAATTAGAGCCCAAGTCCTGGGAACAGGACAATCTGGAAAGAAAGGAGAAGATGTCCGACTCAAGGACGGAGCCCTTACACAGCCACAGGGCCAGCCCTTTTAGAATGCATCTTGGGCCCAGGTATCTTCTTTCCCACAGGCCCCTGTGTCCCAGTTTGATGGCCCCAGTCACCAGAAGAAAGGTAACAATAGTTAACAATAACTTGACACTAGCCAGTACTAAAGAGGGGTTGGCGTATGTCCTGATTTCATGTCCCTTATCTTGTGTGATCCCAACTCCTTTGGGAGATGTCATTTCACAGAGGAGGAAACTGAGGCAGAGGGCCTAGTGGTTTCTTGAGGAAAAAAAAAAAAGGCAGAGGAAGACAGGTTTAAAGGAAGGTTGGGGTGGTGGCGTATCATAGAGGCTACATGCTCAAAGCAGCTGCAGGGAACCTGGAAAGGACTTAATCCATCTGGTCTGCCCACAGTGGTGCCCTGGATAGATGTTTATGCACGTGCCACATGCCAGCCCAGGAAGGTGGTGGTGCCTCTGAGCACGGAGCTCGTGGGCCATGTGGTCAAACGGCTAGTGCCCAGCTGTGTGACCGTGCAGCGTTGTGGTGGCTGCTGCCCTGACGACGGCCTGGAATGTGTGCCCACTAGGCAGTACGAAGTTCGAATGCAGGTACTGGGGGCCTACCCGTCAGGTCAGGCATGCTGATGGGACAGTAGAGCCCTGGGGGCTGGGTCAGCCCAGAGACAGGCATCCAGGAGGGGGGAGGCTCTGGCCATTCTTCCTCTAGCCCACCGAGTATCCCCTTTTTCTTTCTGCTGTCCCCCCCACTCACTGTCTCTTCCTCATTCTCCTGAGTACAGATCCTCATGATCCAGTACCCGAGCAGTCAGCTGGGGGAGATGTCCCAGGAAGAACACAGCCAATGTGAATGCAGGTGCCAGCCACGCCCAACTTCCAAGTTCACGGAGAAGTGTAGCATGGGGCGGGGGTAGGGGTAGCAGGCATGGGATTGTACTGTAGGAGGGACCAGATAACTAAGAGGAGAGCCAGCAATAGGATGGGTCCTGCTGAGAGAACGAACGGGACGCTTGCGCTTTCTTACCTTCTCTTTCTCTTTTTAATTTTTTCATTTTTCAGACCTAAAAAAAAGGAGAGTGCTGTGAAGCCAGACAGGTGAGTTCCTGGAACTCGTGTACACAAGTGAGAGAGGAGGCTGCAGCCCCTTCTGCTCTCTCCTCTCAGCTGACTCCCCTTCCCTTTCATACTCTCCAAACCCATGCACTCTGTCCCAACCCTAGCTCCTGGGAAGACTTTTCCCACCCCAGACATGTCGCTTCTCCTCCTAGGGCTGCCACACCCCACCACCGTCCCCAGCCCCGCTCTGTTCCGGGCTGGGACTCTGCCCCGGGAGCACCTTCCCCAGCTGACATCATCCATCCCACTCCAGCCCCAGAACCCTCTGTCCACGCTGCGCCCAGCGACGTCAGCGCCCTGACCCCAGGACCTGCCGCTGCCGCTGCCGACGCCGCAGCTTCCTCCGTTGTCAAGGGCGGGGCTTAGAGCTCAACCCAACCACCTGCAGGTGAGGAGTCTGTGGGGTGGCACTTGTGTGGGAAGGCAGCAAGGCTGTGTCCTGGAGAAGGTCCGGGTGAGCCTGCCAGTGGCAGAAAGACCAGGGAAGGAGAAGCCAGCTCCACATGTTAAACATTCACTGTGCATACGCTGGCAACCAGATCAGCAAAAACTCAGCTCAAGACTAGAAGCACAAGTCAGATGGTGGTGACCAGTAGAGGATGCTGAGCAATGTGATAGGGGCACTGATGTAAGCTGAGCAGTCGGCCACCTCCTGGAGTGTACCTAAAGAAGGCTTTTTCCAATCTGCAGACCTTTATGTCTTCCCAGAAGCCTATGTGATAGACAGATATTTGTGCCACTTCTACAGGCTCTGAGAGAGCAGGGATGTATGCGAGCCTTTGCCTTTGGCTGGAGTGCTTATGTAGCTCTTCTGGGTTCCATACAGAGGCCATGGGCTCATCTATGGGCCAGGCCCTGGAGGCTTCCAGAGACTATCAGGATAAAGTGGGTTCAAAAAGGAAATACATCAAGAGGGCTGGAATTGGGCATGCTGGTACATGCCAGGAGTCTCGGCACTTGGGTGAAGGCAGAATGATCAAGAGTTCAAGGTCATCCTCAGCTGCAGAGAGAATTTGAAGCCAGCTGGGCTGCATGGAACCCTGTTTGTAAAACAAAAGGAAGCCCACAAGAGGACAAAAAGGGACTTCGATGGGGTATGATGGGGCACACCTGTAATTCCTGCACTCAGGAGGCAGAAGCAGGACGATTATGATTTTTAAGGACAATTAGATTGTAGAGCAAAGTGCTCTCAACAAACATAACAGTAAACAGGAGCTGGGATGTAGCTCCGTTGGGAGAGTGTTTATCTACCCTGCAAAAAGAACCTTAGGGTTTGATCTTCAGCACCAAATGAAACCAGGTATGGTGGCACTCAAAAGTTCAAGGTCACTCTTTGGTGACATAATTGAGTTTGAAGCTAGCTTGGCTCCCATGAGTAAACAGGGGCTGGAGAGATGGCTCACTGGTTAAGAGCATTTTCTACTCTTGCAGAGGACCTATGTTTGGTTTTCAGCACCCACATGGTGGCTCACAACCATTCCTAACTCCTGTGCCAGAAGATCCAGCGCCTTCTGGCTTCTGCAGAGACCAGGCATACATTCATGCAAGCAGACTACTGGCACATAATGTAAACCATAAGTAAACAAATAAATAAGTAAATAGGAGCTAGAGAGATGGCTCAGCTGGTAAAGCATCTGCCATTTAAGCATCAAGGCCTGAGCTTGGACCCCTAACTCCCATGAAAAAGGTAGGAGTGATGGGCTGTAACCTAGCGTTGGGAGAGCAGGCAGAGACAAAGGGAGCCCTGGAGCGTGCCGGCCAGCCATCACAGCAGAATCAGGGGGCTTCACATATAGTGGCCCTGTCTCAAGAGATAAAAGGTAGAGGAGGGTGTAGAGAGACGGCTCAGGGTGGCCGCTACTCCTGCAGAAGACTGACTATAGATCCCGGATCCTACTTGGTTGAGGGCTGCAACTCCAGCTGCAGTGACCCTTTTCTGGCCTCCTCAGGTACTGGATACATGTTTTTATACACACACACACACTCCTGAATAAAAATAGCAAAGTACGTATTTGGTTGGTTGGTTTTGTTCTTGAGACAGTGTACCTCTACATGGCCCTGGCTGTCCTGGAACTCACTATGTAGACCAGAGTGGCCTTGAACTCACAGAAATCCTCCTGCCTCTGCCTCCAGTGGAGTGCTGGGATTAAAAGGCTGTGCTACTACACCCTGCTTTTTATATTAGAATATTAGTTTTTTGTTTGTTTGAGACAGGATCTTTATGTAGTCCTGGCTGTCCTGGAACTCTCATTGTAGGCCAAGCAGGCCTGGAACTTACAGAGTTCCACCTGCCTTTGCCTCTGCTTCACAAATGCTGCGATTAAAGGTGATGTAAAACACTTTTTTTTTTCCCTTTTTGGTTTTTTGAGAAAGGGTTTCTTTGTATAACCCAGGCTGTCCTGGCACTCACTATGTAGACCAGGAGGGCCTTGAACTCAAGTGATCTGCCTGCCTTTGCCTCCTTATGCCTGGCAAAGAGGATAAAGGTGGTGACTAGAGAGATGGCTCACCAGTGAAGAGCACTGTCTGTGGGTGCTGGAGAGATGACTCAGAGGTTAAGAGCACTGGCTGTTTTCCAAAGGTCCTGAGTTCAATTACCAGCAACCACATGGTGGCTCATAACTATCTATAATGAAATTTGGTGCCCTCTTCTGGCCTGCTGGTTCATATGCAGGCAGAATACTGTATAAATAATAAAAAATATCTTAGAGAAAAAAATATCTTAAAAAAAAAAGAGCACTGCCTGCTCTTCCAGAGGTCCGGAGTTCAATTGCCGCCAACCTCACGGTGGCTCACAGCTATCTATAATGTGAACTGACGCCCTCTTCTGGCATGCAGATATAAATGCAGACAGAGCACTCATGTAAAATAAATAAATAAATCTTTAAAAAAAGAAAAAAAGGATCAAAGTAGATGATTAAGCCACAGTACATAAAACACATAGGCACACGCAGTGCCACCCACGAGCACAGGCCAGTCCCCTTTCATTCAGTTTTAAAGAGAGTTATTTATTTTTATGTGCATTGGTGTTTTCCCTCCATGTATGTCTGTGTGAGGGTGCCAGATGCCCTGCAAGTAGAGGTACAGACAGTTGTGAGCTGCCGTGTGGGTGCTGGGTCATCTGGAGGAGCAGCCATGCTCTTAACCACTGAGTCATCCCTCCAGCCCATTTGATAAGATTTAAAAAACAAAAATGAGTACATATAAAAGAAGAGCTTGAGGTTAAGCTCCAGCCAGCACTAATATGCCTTCCTCCACGCCCTAGGTGCCGGAAGCTGCGAAAGTGACAAGCTGTTTTCAGACTCCACAGGGCCATTTGCCTCACAGGCCCCTTCCTAGTGGGAGAAGAGGGGAGCATAGGAGGACTAACTCAGCCTGGGAGGAAGCTGCCCAGGACCTGGACCTTTTGGAGATCTCTCCTACCATCCTTTGTCTCCCCGTATGGGGAACAGGGTACCATCTCAGTTAACCACCCTGCTCGAGTAAGCATCTTCTGGCTGGCTCTGCCTCCCTCACTGTGAAGACCCCAAACCTCTACAAATAATGGGATGTGGTTTCCATTATGACAGCTGTGACACACCCCCGCCCCATCCTGATAAAAGAGATGGAAGGCACCACCACTGCTTATGTCATTGTTTGCCTGACAGAAGTTCTCAGGCGAAGACACAGCCACAGACTTATCAAGTCTTTGTTACACGGTCTCTGGGCCCTGCTCACAAGTATTCTGCCTTCCCTGGCCAGAGTTAAGGAGGGACTCAGACCATAAAACCTGTTTCCCATGGAGAGAACAGATAACTGCCACTACTGGAACCCTTGTCTCTAGACACGAGTGAGTTTCTTCATACAATAGTTGGTGACACCCATCTTCCCTGTTGGGCACACTTACAGTATTACTCCCTGTGGCGGCCCTTTTCATGTCTCAGTCCCGTCTTCATATGGCTGGAAGGCCTTTTTAAAGAAACAAACTCACACCCAGTCTCTCCACCTGTACAATCCCTGGTAGCCCAGCATTTATCAGCTGCTGCTTGAGATTCCTAACCTATTTGGACAAAGCTCATTGTCCGCCTTTTTCCAGTGTCCTGCAGAGACTGGGAAGGGCGGCCAAGCGCCAAGGCTTTGCATTACTACGGGACAGTCAGGGGCAGAATTGACTGAAAGCAGCCAGCCACCCTAGTGAAGGGACCGATACCGAGTGGACAGTCATGATCTTGGTGGTACCTAGGCAGGAAGATAAGCTAAAGGATCCCTAACGATGATGGTGGCCACGTACTTATCTATCCGTTCATTAGAGTCTCATGTAACCCAGGCTAGCCGCGAGCGCCTTAGGTAGCTGAGGATGAGAGATTTCTAATCCTCCGGCATCCACCTCTAAAGTCCTGGAATCACAGGTTTGCACCACACGTGGCTTATGTACTGCTGGGAATCAAACCTGACTTCTTGCTGCCAGGCAAGCAGTACGGACTTAGCTACATCTTCAGCCCTGATGCTGGTCTCCTTTTATTTTTCTCGGGGAGTTGGGGCGGTGTTCAATACAGGGTTTATCTGCGTAGCACTGGTTGTCCTGGACTCACTTTGTAGACCAGGCTGATCTTGAACTCACAGAGATCCTCCTGCCTCTGTTGGGATTAAAGGCTGTGCCAACACTGCCTGGCTCAGATGCTATTTTTGAACTTTTTTTTTTTTTTTTGAGACAATGTCTTATATATCCCAGCCTGGCTCGGAGTTTTTTATGCAGCTGGCGATGTCCTTGAATTTCAGATCCTCCCGACTTCACCTCCCAAGTATCGAGATACAGGCATGGGACATCAACCCATTTTTATGTTTAAATAACTTTCTCAGCAGTGACACTGATGATCATCTTCTGGCTCGATGATTAGAACTTGAGAGCTAAAGCCTCTGAGCTCACTAAGCTTCATCAGATGCTTCCCTTGGCTTCTAGTCAGCATCACGTTTATCTTCTCTGGCATGTGAATAAACGGTCTTAGAAAGGCAGACTGGCCTGAGACAGGTATGAAGTCACTCGACCCCACAGTCCGAACTCAGGTTCAGTTTCCTCTGAACTTCAGGGTCTTCGGGTTGCAAAATGTCTATTGGGAACTGGTAGACCAGGCCCAGCCAGGGCACCGTGAGCCCTGATGGTTTAGCCAAAGGTAAGCCTGGATGCTGCAGACCACAACATGGAAGGGGTCCACACAGGTCAGGGTCATGTGGCAAGGGTGTCACAGAGCGCATTCACCGGGAGAACGAACTTGCTCAAGGTCAAACAGCCAGCTAAGAAGCGGAGGACCTACGATTCAAACCTGGGGTGTCGCTCCAAACCCTGGGCTCTTTTCACAGCAATTAGCCAAAGGCTAGGCATGACGACAGAAGAAATCCAGGCGTCAGCAGGAATCCCTCTGGGCACGAGCACTCTTACTTGCTAGACCATGTCACCTTGGCCAGAACTGCCTTCTTTCAGACACCATTTTTACCAAGCCCGACAGGTGACCTGTGCGCCGGAAGTGACGCTATCATGTAGTCACTCAGGAGGCGGGGCCAAGCACGAAGCCGCGCGCTGAGAGTGCCGCAGCGGGTTTCGGACGGTCCAATGAGGGCGGGCAGCGTGTCCCGCCCTGTAGCGACGAGGACGCGCCTGCGCAGAGGCGACAGCAAGAGCGGGATTGGCTCCGGGGGCGCGGCGAGGAGGTGAGCGGGGGGCCACAGCCCGGGCTGGGGGACCCGGGTGCAGGAGGGCAGCCTGGGGCAGGCCTGTTCGGAGGGCCGGAATACGCGTGCCAGCGAGGGGTAGCAGACGAGGGAATCGGGGCTGGGGTCCAGCGTCCGGCGATGCCGCAGGGGGCGGGCTCTCACGCCGTACGGGGCGGAGCCCTGCGGCTCGGGGCGGGACGCGGAACCGCGGTGGGAGGGACAACGGAGCCAGGGCGAGTGGAGAGCGGAACGAAGTTTTCCGTAGCTGGGTTAGGGGGGCTGGAGGGCGGGGTCTGGCGTTTAGAGGAGGAGCTGGAGCAGGTGGAAGGTGGAGCGTTGGGGTCGGAGGCGGAGGCCGTGGGAGCCCAAGCGTTAGGGGCGGGGCTCCAGCCAGTGATTGGCGTGGCCCCCGCGCTGGAGAGGGGGTCTGGCATTGCTGAGGGCGGGGCTGTAATTCAGGGGGCGGAGCCGCGCGCCCTAGGAGGCGGGGCTAAGGAGGCTTGCGGCGAGCCAAGCCTGAGTAATGGCCCGGGGCGTCCACGAGGGGGCGGTCTACGTGGCGGCCGCGCCTGGGGTCGCGGTAGACCGAGAACTCCCCCTGGAGAGGTTGTGTGGGTGGAGCGGGTTCGGCGCCCTGCTGACTCCGGGCCAGTGTGGGTGCCCCGGAGGCCCCCGAGAGCTCAGAGCTGGGGGGGAGCCCCGGGCGGAGGAGGCACGGAGCCGGGCTGGGGGGTGCCTCCGGAAGACCGGGGCTCCCCAGAGCCGCCTAGTGGAGATGTGTGGGTGCCTCGGGGCCGGCCGCCTGCAGCAGCCGCAGAGGTGTGGGTGTGCTGGACAGGGAGCAGCTGGGTGTGGCGAGAGTGGGGTCGTTCGGTCGGGACAAATCCGGTGCACCCAGATAGGGTTTGGACTTTGCGTAAAGGGTCTGGCGGGAACTGAAAAACGGAAATGGGGACCGGGAGGGAGAGGTCTGGTAGTGAGCAAAGGGGCGGGGCCCTGGCTGCTGTGGCCTCCCCTGACCCCCTCCCCTCGCTGCTGGGGTCCTCAGCCAAGCCCCCTTCTCACTGGACTGGTAAGTGTGGCCGAAGAGCCCAGGGGAGAGGGTGGTGATCCAGGACAGTGGGATTCCCTAGGAACAGGCAAGATACAATGGGGGTGTCATCCTCCTGCTATCTACTTAAGTTCCATGATTGTCCCCTGTCTCCCCTCCACCCGTCTTTTGGGGATGGGGTGGCCTGTGCCTACAGAGACATGAGGCTGAGCTGGGTCCTGACAATACTGTCCATTTGCCTGAGTGCCCTGGCCACGGCCACGGGGGCCGAAGGCAAACGGAAGCTGCAGATTGGAGTGAAGAAACGTGTGGACCACTGTCCCATCAAGTCTAGAAAGGGAGATGTCTTACACATGCATTACACGGTAGGTATCAGGGTCGGGCTTCTGGGGCTTTGAGAGTTTCTGGAAACCAGAAAGGACTTTTGGACTCTCCATTTTTTTTCCCCAATTAGGTAGATGACCTTGAACACATATCCCTTTGGCCTCTAAGCTCCTTTCCATGATTCTATCTTGCCTTTCAGCTAGGTATCAGCATGCAAATTACTGCCCATAAGCTACTCAAGGCATTGTACCTTTTAAGGAACATGACCACCAGTGCTGTGTCACCACCTTGGGGAGAATAGTTGGGTGGAAGGGAGTTCTGGGATGATCACCTCTCCTTACTAGTTTTCCCACGGTCCCACAGGGGAAGCTGGAAGATGGGACAGAGTTTGACAGCAGCCTACCACAGAACCAGCCCTTTGTTTTCTCCCTCGGCACTGGCCAGGTCATCAAGGGCTGGGACCAGGGGCTGCTAGGGTGAGTCTGGGGCACATGTTGCAGTGATCTGAGAAAGGAGCTGTGGGAGGAAAGGCCCAGTTGTGGGGCAGGGGTCTTGGTGCTTCACCTGCTGAGCGTGCATGCGTCATCCTGCAGGATGTGTGAAGGGGAAAAGAGGAAGCTGGTGATCCCATCTGAACTGGGTAAGAGGCCCTTGGGGTTGGGTGGGTAATGGGGGGGTTACATGTGCCTAAAGACGGGTCCAAACTTGAGCTTCACTGGCCCTCACCTATAGTGGATGTGGTGTATGCCACGTCTACATCTGACTCGTGTTCAGCAGCCAGGACTGCCTTGCATTCAGCTGCCGGACCTTTGGTGTCCTCACCCTTCTCCAGCACACTTTCCATTTCTCCCTGCCTATTGCAGAGTCATCCTTTATGTGGGCCAGAAAGGAGCCTGGCCACAACTTACTTTTCGTGTCTTTGTGTCTTTTCAACAGGGTATGGAGAGCGGGGAGCTCCCCCAAAGATCCCAGGTAATACCCTTAACATCTCCACCCATCACTCTGCAGGGTCCTGGGGCCCAGTCTGATCACACTTCTCCCCCCAGGTGGAGCAACCCTGGTGTTTGAGGTGGAGCTGCTCAAGATTGAGCGACGTTCAGAACTGTAGCAGGCTGCAGAGGGGTAGGAGGCCCCTGTCAGGGACCAGACTGTTTTAAAACAAAACAAACAAAAAAACCCTTTAAAACCCCAAGAGTGAGTCTGTGTTTCTTTGTGGATTCTAAGAGACTTAGATTAAGACCTTAGCTTCAGCATTGGGGAAATAGCTCAGGAGTGGGGCAATGGTCTAATGTGAATGAGGCCCAAAGATGGATCCTCAGCATTGGGGAAGAGGAAACAAGACCATCTTCAGTCTCACCTTCCCTGATACTTGCGGAGCCTTGAGGTCTATCCTCAATAGCCTGGAGATCCTTAACCAGTGCAGATAAGAAACTCTCAAGACTGCTGGTAGCAACCGTGCTCCCCAGCCAGTTGGAGCACCGATCTGGGAGCCAGCATGGGTTATCACCATGGCTACGTGAACTACAAGAAGGGCTGTGGTCACCTGGGGAGGAGCTGAGCTGGTAACAAATGCAGAGCAGTGTTGTCCCCCGCAAAAGACCACCCAAGCCTGTTAGCTGCTCCAAAGGCATATCCTAGCTTTTATTTTTAAAGGGCCTGCGCCGCAGAGTCAATATAAAAACACAAAAAGTCCCATCAGTTTAATAACAATAAAAAACCCCAAAAATGGAAAACTGAGGGCAAGGGAAGTGACCCCTAGGCAGGGGCATAGGGATCCCTGCTCACGGCACCAGGCCTGGCTGCAGGGTCCCCCAGTATTGCTGTTGCTACGAGGTTGGGGGCCAGCGATTGTCCTGTGGGAGCCACGGCCATCTGAGTCAGGACCCTTACTTCTTCTGAGGTGTGCTCAGCTTCTGCATGCCCCGGATCTTGTCCAGCAGGCCAGAGATGAAGGCCTAGATAGGAAGGGGCCATTAGGGAGGCCAGGGTCCAAGATGATAATCTGCCACACATACATACCCACCCACGGTCAGGGAAAGGGACTTACCTCAGTGGGTTTGTAACAGTCAACTAACAGCTCCTGGTGAGGGAAAACACAGTGAATTGTTGGGGACCAGGGCTCACTGTTCACCTATACCCTCCCAAGGGACTGTTACCTAGGAACATAGCTAAGTTCCACGAGCCTCATTTCTTCAGAGGCAGATGACCCAAAGCAAAGAAGGTACAGCACCAGGGCCCAGCTTCCCCAAGGTGCAGTCAGTGTCTCCAGGCATTTCTTCACTAGCCGACCTCAGCTTACCTTGACTCTGGCAGCCCGGGTGTCATCACTTTCCATGTCCAAGAGTTCATCCACATCTATCTCGAGCTCCGGGATCTCCTCTTCCTGGGATAGGGGTGGGGAAGGATGGACAAGAGCCTCAGCCAGGAGAGGGTGTGGAGAGGATTCCCTGCCCAACTCAAAACCAGACCAGCCCTCCTTGCCCAGCAGAAGACAGCTGCTCTGGGAAGGAAAACAGATCAGGTCTGTGCCAAGGCAAATTGCCCAATGAGGGGGAGCTTCCTGTCTCTGCCAATGGGCACCAGGGGCGCCAGACAGACAGGGCTGGGGAATCTTGGGCTGGGAACCCAGCAGATGTGCCTTCTCAGCATCCGGGACCTCTAGCTCACCAGAACACTGGTAAGGCCAGCTGTCCCAATTCATCACAGCCCCCTCCCCTCCCCCAAACACCTGTCACAGCTTCCTGGGAGGGAGGAGGAAGTGAGGGTGAGGGGTCAGTGGGAAAGACTCCCGCTTGATAAAGGGGGAAACAAAGAGCCCATGCTTTGAGGAGAAAGGGGTTACACCCCCCTCCCCAAAGGTGCAGCGAGCACACTTGGAGCTAGTTGCATTACAGGGCTGGGCTAGGGTAGGCATCACAGGGCAAGCCCACTCCTCCACCCTACCCCTGGGGGCCTGAGTCACCATCTGAACAAGCAGGGAGTCATGGGGTGGAGAACCAGAGCCGCAAAAGCTGGCTAACCTGTCTTCACAGACAGACTGGCAGGCTAGCCTACTGGAACAACTCGGATCCATTAAAACACTTGAAACAGTTACACTTGCGGCTTTCAACTAGTGTCTGTGCGAGCCCAGACCAGACTAACCACGTTAGACCCCTCACTGTCAGCCCAGGGCATGCCCCTGCCTCCAGTCCCAGGGCAGGCTCTCTATCCCTTCTAGGCCTGGGGAGGACACCACGCTTATTACCCTGGAGCAGTACCACGAAGGACGAAAGGTCCGGGACTAGAGTGACTTAGGTCAGGCAAGAAAAGGCACACACTGGGGGCGGCGAGATTAAGACGGGTGGCTTAGCGGAGCTCGCACTGACTGCGGTGACAGCCTAACGGTAGGGTTTCCGAGCAGACCGGGCTCAGGTCCGGTTTTAGAGTGTCGGCGCGGGGCGGGGAGCACACCTGGCAGTCGTAGAGGCGTGTGAGCTGTTCTAAGATCCACTCCTCCAGGTTGAGGCGCTTCCGTAGCTCCTTGCGGTCGTACTTGACGGTGACCTTCCCTTGCCGTCTCACCGGGCCATCGTCCTCTGCGCCCCCTGGGCCTTCGCCGGCGGCCCCAGGGGGACTCTGGAAGTAGACTCGGGGCCCTGTGCTGCCACTGCCCGGCCCGGGGGCCGGAGCAGCCAACGCCGCGCCCCCCGCGGGGCCGCTGTCCGCCATGGCGGCCGCCGGGGCCACGTGCGCGCTCGGGCCCCTCCCTGCGCCGCCGCCTCCCGGCCGCCCGCCGGCTGGCTCCCGGCCGCTGGCTCCGGTTAGCTCGCGGGCTCCGCTCCGCGCGGCTCCGCGGCGAGGGCGGCGGCGGGGGCGCCCGGGGGCAGCTGCAGCATGCGGAGCCCCCGGGCCTGGCCTGGCCGCGCCCCGCCCCCCCCCCCCCGATCCGCCCGCCCTTTGTCCCCCGCGGCCGCCGCCCGAGCAGCCGCCGCCGCCGCTTTCTCTGTCTTGCTCTCTCCCCCCGCCCCCCGACCACACCCCCTTAAAGGGCCAGCCCCACTTCAGGCCCCCCTCCCCCAACCCCGCCTCCTGAAAGGGGATAGGGGAGGATCTACTCTGCGGGGTCCGAGGCCGTCTGTCCGGGCTCCTTTAACTTAACTTCTGGCCCCAAACCTAGACTTCCAGGTGGCGGGTGTCTGGGTCTGCACGCCCGCTAGGACGTCTTCTTCTGACCCTGTCTCATTCTGTCTCTGAGGGACAAATCCCAGGCGGTCTAGGCAAGAGGCCGAGTGGGCGAAGATCCGGAGAGGAACGTGCGAGACCCTTGGTCAGCAAGGGGCGAGAGGACTTCCGCGCGCCGGTCGACACGTGGACAGGGCTTCCGGGGATGGGGGAGGTTGCAAAGGCGTCTAGGCCACTGCCCAGGTGCCGGGACGCCCTACTCGGTCGGGTCTCAAGCCCCTCAGAGGATCCCGGGGTGGGGGCAGAGTTGGCCTTTTGGCTTACAATAGCCAGGACCTGGACGACCACCGCCCACCGGCTGAGATGGCGGCACGCGGGGCATTGTGGGCAATGTAGTCCGCCCAGCTTTACCGCCCGCCGCGAAGCACAAACTTGTTTGGGGCACGCCCTACGGGGCTGGCGGGGTTGTCCTGGGCGCGGCCTTGGGTGCCCCGCAGCTTGAGCGTGTGCAAAGGAGGAAATTCGGGTGCAAAAAGCTAGCGTGTGGGGAAGCTAAAACTCATGATGATAAAGGTAATAATATCAGTTGACCCCAAACGAGCGTTTATCCGCCCCCGCCCCGGGGGGGCCTCTTCGGCTGTGAGGGCAGCAAGCCAGTTTTCCCAGTAGCTTTCCTCCAAATTTCACACTTTAGAAGGCCACATTTCTTCCTTCACTTTGTCTGCATCATTAAATTGTTTCATTCATTCGTTTGTCCTTCTTCTAGACAGTGAATTTTGGTGGCCGAGAGCTCTGAGGACTGTCTTTGCTGATACCCAAGCTTGGGTCGGCATGCTACTTGTCACACTTACAGGCCTTAGGAAACTGCCGAGTACCTAGAGAACCCCAGCTCCTAAAACTCAAGACTCAAGCAAAGGACTCCGTTCTATTGGTTGAACAAACGACCGTAAAAATATGATGGACTTTATCTGAAGGCTGAAGGAAAACCCCATGGAAACTTTAACTGTGAGAGCACAGAGTTAAGTCATATATAGGGGGAGCTGGGATTTTGAGCTCAGGCTCTGTGACACACACCCTGACACACTAAGGCAGAGTTTCTACTAGTACCCTCTCCCCCCACCCCACGAGATTGCATTGCACTTTCTGGATGTCTCTATGGCTGGCTCGTCCTCTTTTCCAAATAGTCTCAGGATTACAGGCACAGCGGCTTGTAGCCCTGATGCTGCAGAGGAAAAAAAAGCCCCTGGGCAGGTGGGGTTCAGAGCAATGTTTTGGCCCAGGATCACACAGATGGTACCACCGCATGCAAACTCAAACCCAGGATTTTAGGCTCCTTTTTTATGCTACTTTTTTTTAAAAAAAGATTATTTTATGTGTATGTTATAAATGTTTTATCTGCTTGTATGCTTGTGTACCACCATGTGTTGGGCAAGTCAGAAGAAAGTTTAGAATTCTGTGGAACTGGAGTTATGGATGTATCTGAGCCACCATGTAGGTGCTGGGAATCGAACCTGGGTCCTCTGCAAGAGCAAGTGTTCTTAACTGCTGAGGCATCTCTGTAGACCCCTCGATGCTGTTTTTGGAGAGAAGACACAAAGGCTAGGGATGTAGGTCAGGGGCAGAGCATTTGCCTAGCATTTACAAGAGCATGGGTTTGATTCCCAGCAGTGTGAAAAATAAAATGAAGGGGGATGAGTCTGGGGAGGCAGCTCCCTTGGTACCGTTTGCCTAGCACGATGCCTTGGGTTTGAGCTCCGGAACCACACACAGCTGCTTGTGTTGGTACACACACTTGGAATCACAGCTGTGGAGGCAGGGGGCTTGGAAGTTCAAAGTCATGCTTGGCTTCTTAGTGAGTTTGAAGCCAACGTGGGATAAAGGAGACAATAAATAAGGAATTAAGTAAAATGAGAAGACAGGTAGGGAATGGTGTTTGTGTGTGAGGATAGGAAGTGAGCTGCTCTCTGAGAAGACTGGCTGGGGCCAGATTCCCCTGGTTCTCAGGAGAGGAAGCGGTGGAGTAAACTAATG